CCCCCTTTGCTGAATATCACACATTCCTCTCCAGTGAGTGGGACATAAAAATAGACACTGGGCTCTGTTGTGGTCTTGCTGTTTTTAGAATGGATGTGGCCAGCTGAGCCCTGTTCCCCACATGGGCTGACTGATGCCCACTCTGCTGACTGACCAGGTTGTAGAGGAGTCAGGAGGAGCCCTGGGAATGGAGGACAAGTGGGGTGCTGCCACGAGCTGAGGAGGTTCTTGCCTTCCTCTTCTGTTTCCATGGCTGCAGGATCATGGAAGACACTAAGTTGTGCCCTGACCCTTTCTGCCCTCAGCCCATGCCATAACCATGACCTAGTGGCAACTGTCCCTTCCTGCTACCTTCTGTGCAGCATCCTTCTGCAGGACTGGCTCAGCAGCCTGGGCACTGGAAGAAGGCTGGCATGAAATTTCCCATGCTTGAAAAAGATAGGCTGTTTGGAAAGACTTGTCTCTGGAATCCATAGTCTTCCTCTTTTCCTCCTTGGCCTGTGTGAGCCCCAGGTGGAGGTGGTCTGATCTGGCCTCTAAAACCAGTGCTGTCTCTGGAAAAGTCAGGTTAGCTGCCATGCTGGCTCCTCTGTAATGAAAAATGAACAGTGAGTCTGCTCCTTCATGTGACTTTGGGAAAAGGCTTCCATGCCAGACACATAGCACATGCTGTCAACCAAAACTTCTGGACTGTTTTTCCCAAGTGTGGGGTGTGAAATCAGCTAACTTCTATCTCTGGGATCAAGGTACAGGTGGCTGCAGTGCCCCTGGTGGCTTCCCAACGAGGTGTTGGGCTCTCATTTGCCTTGTTCTGGTCCTTGGGGATTTGGTACCTGTTTTCTCTAGGTGGGACCAATGGCAAACTGAACCTGAAATAGGAGGGCTGAACTGTGGGTGCTCCCCTGGGCACCCCCTCTGGCTCCCAGAGCTGAAGCTGTGTTGGGTTCTCTTTTCCAGCCACCACCCTGTTCCATAAGCTTTCACAGGGTCTGAGGGTTCTGGGATTGCCAAAGCTCTGCCCTCTTCACCTCCTGTGAGCTGGAATTATTGGGTTGTATCATTAGTCATGAGAGACAGCTGTAAGGAAGGCCAATTCCCAGCAGGCCATGAGGGAAACACACAGGAGGAGGATCTCGGGGTCACTGACCCATGGGGGATATGGTACTACAGCTTGACATGGCCTTGTTGAGCTCATTCTTTGGTTCTTCAGCTCAGCCAACATAGACTGGGACAGGGAACAAGGTGTTCTCCTCCCAACCCAGGCACCAGATAGTGCTTGGATATCTTGGTTCACAGTACCTTCTCTTCTTACGGAGCAGTGAGAGGTCCTTTGCCAACAAGGAGGAGGTTGGCTTGTGAAAGGAAACAGTCAGACTTTATGTGCAAAATAAGGATTAAGAAAACATAGGAGGCCGGGGGGGGCGATGGTGATGGTGGTGGTGCACTCCTTTAATCCCAGCACTCGGGAGGCAGGATCTCTGTGAGTTCGAGTCCAGCCTGGTCTATAACAGCTAGTTCCAGGACAGCCTCCAAAGCCACAGAGAAACCCTGCCTTGAAAATCCCCAAAACAAAACAAAGCATAGGGAAAGGGGGGTAGATAGGTTAGGAGCTGCTGCCTTCTCTCCCTTCCTTCTTTCTCCTCTTCCCCCTTGCCCCCTTTTCTTGTTTGTTATTTGGTACAAAGTGTTGCTGTAGCTTGTTGGCCTGGTAATTTCTTTTTCAAATTAGCTTTTTGTTGATACTTTGTGGATTTCACATCATGCATCTCTTATGTTGGTTGTGAACCTAGCCTTTAACAGCTGAGCCTTCTTTCCAACCCCACATCATGCATCTCTATCCCATTCATCTCCTCATCCCTTCCCATCTGCCCTCTGCCCTTGCAACTCCCTCCCCAGGATAAAATTTTAAAAGAAAAATCTTGTTGTAGGAGCTGTAGTATGACCCACCAAGTCACACAGTCCTTTAGTCCATATATTATTACTTGCAAATTGTTCTTTGCAATGAGTTGTTGGTTTGATTTGAGGTGTCTAGTTTTTGCTACTTAATCAATTCAATACTGGGCCCTCACTGGGGCTCCTGTTGGATAACCTGTTCTTTTCCCTGTGTCATGGAGATCCTGTAACTTTTAAGTCTGCAGGATCAACCTCTGTTAATTTGTATATAGCCCAGATTGGCCTCAAACTCACAGCAATCCTCTTGGCTCAGCCTTCTGGGTGCTAGGATTTTAAGCAGGAACCTCTATACCCTGTCTCCTTTTTTTTTTTCTTTGCTTTTTGGTTTTTGAGACAGGGTCTTTGTATTATGTAGCTCTGTCTGTCCTGGAAGTCACTCTGTAGAGCAGGCTGGCTTCAAAATCCCAGAGATAGATCTGCCTCTGCCTCCTGAGTGCTGGGATAAAAGGGGTGAGCCATGTTTTCTCTGCAGCATGCCCCTTTTAAGTTGATGTCGCCTCCCACTGGGATGCTGCAGAGCACCTGGTTACCCCTCAGTTGATGGGAGCACCTGTTATTCCGGCAATGACACAACCTTGGATTCCAAGCTTGGCTTCCCTCCTCAGTATCTGGCCACCCACATGTCAGGGTGCCTAGCTTTGCAATCCATAATCTTCTGAGCAAAGACCCCACCAGAGTGGGGGGGACCCACCTCCAAAAAAGCCTGAGTGTGTCAAACTGATTTTTCATGCCTTACTCAACAATTTCCAGATCAGAGTCAACTATATCTCTGAGGTTTGAGCACATCCAAGCTGTTTTCAGCAGTTTGCGGAGTTATGGGAACCCTCATGTCTGTCTGTCTGTCTGTCCCAAGTGTCTTTGTATCCCACTGGGGAATTTGGAAATAAGTAGTGTTTAGAATGCTGGACCTAGAAATGATGCTGAGGCGAGTAAAGTGGCAGATGCCTGTAACCTCAGCACTCAGGAGGAAGAGGTGGGAGGATCAGAAGTTCAAAGAAAAAAGACAGGAAACAAAACAGACTGGCTTATTTACTAGGTGATGCCACATTTTCCCCAGTGTTTTCTGAATCAACACAGGTTGAAATGATCAACCCAGTTGACCAGAAATGTCTCTGTTCTACAGCTGGGGCTTAAGACACAGCGTCTCTGTAAAGCAGCATAACAGTGTGAATCTGAAACCACACATGGAAAGTTTAAACCTTTGCCTTTTGATAGTTTGTTTCTGCAAGTCTGAAGAAATTAACCCTCAACTGGGCAGCTATATGCACAAAAATAGTCCCAGTGACCCAGATTGCAGGAGTGAGGGTCAGCAGGGGTAAACTGCTCAAGAAGAATGTGAAGTAGGTTGTGGGACAGCTACTGAGGGAGGTGTTCACAGCCACAGTGGCTGTGGGCCGGGAGGGTGGCTGTCAGTAAATGGTTCTCCTTGCAAGTATGAGGACCTGAGTGGGATTCCCTAGAGCACAGGTAAGAAATTCTGACATGGTGACAGGCACTTGTTTTCCTAGCACTGAAGATGTAGAACAGACTGATCCTGGGGCTTAAAGGCCAGTCAGCTCAACCTCTAAGTGAGTTTCTGACCAGTGTGAGAGAGCCTGCATCAAAAAACAAAGTGGACAGCCATGATATAGCACTATCCTTGGGGAGATGTGAGCAAACGTCCGCTCGCCCCAGATAGGACACCAACAGCAGACCGAGTAAGGGTACCACCCAAGTCCAGCTTGGTGAACCAGTGCATTTTATTGGGGGGGACTTACAGGAGTATGGGGGGTCACTTGCAGGTGTGAATGACTCACAGACAGCTACATTACCAAAAGCCCATCCCAGCATAGGTGACAGCTCACCGAAGCTGGAGACCTGAAGCACACTTAAAGCATAGCCTGCAGGCAACTCAGTAGACTGGAGAACATTTCTTCCATGGAGCTCAGTTGGTCTGTTTTGATAGTATCTCTTAGCAGACCTCACTGCTTATATACGCTTGGGAGGAAGGAGCCTAGTGAATTTGCTCAGATTCAGGGACTTCCTAAAGCTATTGAATTGTTTACTTTCTGAGTCTCAAGGAGATTCCTTCCAAGGTGGAATTCTTTTTATCTCAGAGGAATTTACTGTACAACGTTGGCACCCAAGGACCATGCTTGAAGTTGTCTTCTGGCCTCTACACATGTGCATGCACCCATGTGTATGTGTACACACACACACACACACACACACACACACACGCAGAAACACACTGTGAAGACCAAGAAAGAGCTGAATGATGCTCATAATGCACTGAAGAAATGACGTCCTACATTACAGACCTGACAAGACCACAGTTAACATGAAAATGTGGCACAAAAAAATCTAGTTATGGGTGTAGGTGTTATGACTGATTTTTCTGAGTTTTTCTTTTGCTTTCCCAATTTTCTATAATATCATTTGTTATTTTTACAAGAAAGCAGTGGAAATGATGGGGAAGTGAGATTTTCAGGATTGGTTTTGAGATGGAGACTGATGAGTTCTGCAGGGTGGGGGATAACATGGCCTGCAGTTAGCTCTCCTTTGACATAAGGCTCAGAATTCCTGGCAGTGTATTCTGTCAGATCTTCTCAGTGACGGTGTTGGAGGTCACTGTGGCTGACTGGATGTGGGTCAGGAAAGTGGTTAGTCTGTACGCAATGGCATGGGGTATGGACTGTGCTTGTGTGGCTTCCCTTTCCTCTGAGGACCCTGATGCCTGAGGAGTCCACACATCCTTCCTCACCTGCCTGCAGCACCCCCTCAGGAAAAGTCTGAACCCAGCCATGTGCTCTCCCAGCCAACAGGGATCCTTGACCATTTCTATGATTCTGATCTTAGAGCTGTTCAGGGTGCATTGTGACAAGGCTTGGTCTCATAGCTCCTAATGTGTTTCAGGCAGGTGGACTGCTATGAAAATAGTTACTTGGGACCAACAGACGGCTATAACCTTATATTATTACAGTGTCTGCACATGTCTGAGGAAGAGTGTGTTTGTCCCAGGGAGTGCTAAGACTTGCTCTCATTTGTCTCTTCTTTTGTTTCCTCAGAGTCAGATGGAGTTCAGCATCTCCTCCTTATCCATCCAGGAGTCTGGCACAGCCAGCATGACTAGTGATCCCAGGCCCCTGGCCAAGGCTCCTCAGGGCACACAGGCGGCCAAGCCTGCCCAGAGCAGCAGATCTTCTAGCCTAGATGCCCTGGGACCTTCAAGGAAAGAGGAGGAAGCATCTTTTTGGAAGATCAATGCTGAGCGCTCTCGGGAGGGGCCTGAGGCCGAGTTCCAGTCACTGACACCCAGCCAGATCAAGTCCATGGAGAAGGGAGAAAAAGTCATGCCTGCTTGCTACCGCCAGGAGCCCATCACAAAAGACAGGGAGGTCAAGGTTATGCCCCAAGAACAACAAACCGTCTTCAGTGTAAGCACAGGGCAAGAGGTGCCCCAGCCTGTGAAAGCCCCTGCCAGCTTGCTGCCCAAGGCCACCCCCATTGAGTCCCCAGAGAAGCCACCGCCTCCCACTGCCCAGCAGGATGAAGAAGATGATACTCTGTTCTCAGAGCCTGTGTTTTCCCAGGTGGGTGATGGCGCCAACTCCACATCAGAAGTGGAGGACACATTCTTTCACAGATATCCAAGGAGGGCTTACAGGATGGGACAGCTGTCAATGTCCCCATGGTCGTCTTCCCCTCTACTGAGTTCAATTTCCAGAGCCCATGTTAAAACTACTTGAGCATGGTACAATGCTTGTAATCCCAACACTGGGAAGTTGGATACAGATGTATCCTTCGACTTGTTGGCCTGACAGCCTAGCCTATGTGGTGAGTTCTAAGCCAAGGGTAGACCCTGTCTGTAAAAAGTGTCTAACACCCAAACTTGTCTTTTGACCTCCGCCTGCATACACAGACGCATGCACACTCACACTCACACACACATACTGACAAACACACGTACACTCACATGCTCACACACATGCACACTCATGTGCACGCGCGCATACACATGTGCACACACACACACACGAGCAGGTGAGGGGATGGATTGAATAGTGTGTCTGCTCACTTTATAATGCTGTCAGAAGCAGGAGGGTGCCAGTAGAGGAGCAGGTTGTTCTCCTCTGCTCTGTGCATACTGGTGATGGATGTGAAGGGTGTTGCTTGCACTGGATTTTGTGCAGATTTCTGGTCCTTGGCACTGAGGTAAATTGAGGTCAGGGGCCCCTGAGACAGAAGCAGCTGCTGTCATCTGGGTCGTTGTAAATGAGGTGCTGTATATAGGTTGTGTGTGGCTGCAGTGGAGGCCCATGTCTTATTTTGTGTCCTTTGTCTCTCTGCAGATCAGCTCAAGTAACACCCTGTTGAAGACAGGCTTTGATTTCCTGGACAACTGGTAAACAGTGCTACCTGGAAACACAGCCAAGAGCCCCCAGTGTGGTCCACGTGGTGTTCAGAGGAGAAGGCAGCTCTGCCTGTGTATTTTCCTGTTTTCTCTGCTTTTTTCTTAGTCTTTCGGGAACTAGGAGATGTTGCCAGGTTTTCCTTTTTTTTTTTTTTTTTTTTTTTTTTTTGGTAAAACCAAATAGATAAATATGCTATTTTCAAGAATTTGATAACAAGTTTTACACTTGGGATTTTTAAAGACTGAGAATCCAGTAAGCCAGTAAGCCTTGTAAATAAAACTTTTGTTCCCAGCTCCAACCCACTTATCCATCCAAGACGGTTCTCTGACCAAGTCATAAAAGGTCGCAAAGGCGATGGATCCACTCCTCTCTTTGTACCCTCCCCGGCCCTTTTCATCTGGGGCTCCCTGGATGGATGTGGCCTGCTGACTGTCACCGTGGAAGATTCATCCTTACAAATGGGCTCACCTGGCACCCTTCCTTTGCTGAAGCCACATTTGGTGTCCGTCCCCTCCCCCTCTTGTAGTTAACAGACTGCTGGCAGGTGGCAGGTGTCTGCTAAGCTGTCGCAGTGACTTACCTGGAGCTTTGATTGTTTAGCAGCAGCTGCCTGTTGGCAGGTTTTCTGTCAGATTCTCACTGTTTTAAATGTAGCTGCAGCAGCCTCCTTGGTTCTGTAGGAGTTTTCTTCTGGAAGTTATTATAACTGTCCTGCTAGTGTCCCAGCCCTGGCCACTATGGGAGTCAGGGTGGTGACAGTGGTGCTGGAGAACAGGGTTCTTCTGATTCACTACGTTACAATCTTCCAGTATGAGACTGGCAGGCTTGGTCATTCTTTACCCCTGTCTGATCAAGCTGTGTCATGAAGGCCTCTCCCTGAGACCTGGCCACCTTCAAGTGCAAGAGGCCTTCCTGAGGGTTCCAGAAGCTTCCCCTTGCAGCCCTGAGAGTTCACAGCAGCAAGGCTGGGTGAGGAGCGCCCACCACACCCAGATCTACTGTTCTCAGCTGTCATGGCTGCCCTGCCATGGCCTCTGGACCACATGCATCTGCAGGAGGTGCCAAGCAGATCTGTGAGCTCTGGGTGGCATGGTCTACCCTTCACTGTCGCTCCATTCTCTTCACCTGAAGCCTTAAATCTCTATGAATCCCCTCCTCTGAGCGCCTGGTTTCAGTACTTAAAGGTGTAACCCTCTTAATGCCTGTGTCGTAGGACTTTCTGAAATAGCTTCTGGAATATTCTCTTTGGCCCTGTTTACCAAGGTAAAGCACACAGCCACTATCCCACCTTTCTCCTCTTCTCTAGGAAAACATACCAAAGCTATACTTAACCAATATTGATGTGATAGCTGCCAATTAGCTTATGTCCTGAACATCCCGTGATCCCTTGGGTTTGGGTTTGCCTTCCTCTAGCAACTTTTGACCAGTCATCTTTCATACTGCTGTAGAGCAGTTGATAGGGGAAGTTGATAGAAAGGCTGCTGGCACACAAGGAAGAAAATAACTTGCAAGCCACCATTGGCACAGCCCAGGCTGGCACTCACTCGTCAGGGGAGTCCAGCACGGCTGCCATGTGCCTGCCCTCCCACTCCAGTGCCGTGGGTTAATTGCGAACCTGTGCATGTTCTCCTTCCCTGAAGGTCTGTGGCTCGTGGCATTGTCATAGCAGGAAGGAGAAGGCTCGCCCTGGCCATTTGACCAGTGTGACCAGTCCGCTCTCTTGTGCAGACTTGTTCACATCCTCTCACTTTCTCCTAATTCCCTTCTAGTTTCTCCAGTGAAAACATGGAGTGTACGCACAGTGGTGTTTCTCACGGAGGCCTCCCAAGAGCAGGTGGGAAATCACAGATAGGGGCTCTAGGAGGGATCCTAAAGGACTCACCTGACCTGGGGATTGTCCTTGCACCTGGGAGGGCCTACACCAAGCTGGCTTCTTGGTTTCCCCTAGGCACTCTGTGGCAGGGCCCAGGAGATTGGCCAGGTGTTTATCACCTTCTCTTTCTCCGGCATCCTGATGAAGTACATTTATTATTTCTCTTGAAAGCACATTCTTTGTCTGAAGCCTGTGTATGAGTTTGGACTCCATTACATGCCCAGGCTCAGCATCTTGGAGGCAGCTCCAGGGCTCTGTGTCTTGCTCTTGGTGACTGTATTTGACAAAAGCTCTCAGGAACCAAGACTGTGCCTGTCTGGGCTGTCCCTGAATCCCAGGCTCTCCAGGCTTGGATGTGCTCCCATTAGGAGCAGGGGAGTTGGCCTCCTGGCCAGGTGTGTTCCCTCATGCCAGGGCCAGGAGTGGCCTTCTGTTCTTCACATCACCCTCTCCTTTGATACGTTTTCAAAATGGTAAATTCTTACTGACAGCTTATAACTTGGTCCTATTTTGTACTACTAGCCTTTAATAAAGCCATTTTAAAAATGAGAGTTGGGTCTGTTTCATTTTCTGCTGTGTTCTGGAAGCTGATCAGGATGGTGGGAGTTTAATGCCAAGTAGTGTTTCCTAGGAAGATGTCAAGAAATATCCACTCACCCTAGATAGGTCACTAATAGACCAAAGAGAAGATTCCATCCAGTTCTATTCAGTGAGCCAGTGAGTTTGTTGGGTAGCTTACCAAAGTGGGGCCTACAACTAGGAAATCCCCTTCCTCAACATGGTGGCTTATGTTACAGCTCCACCACTGGAGTCCCCAGGTCAGCCTCTCCCTCCTAAATATCCTAATGCTGCCTCCAAGACCAAGTGCAGCAGGAGGGGGTGACAACTGGAACCTTAGTTTGTCCCTTTGTCATGATCTCCTATGTAGCTCTCACCATGTTCTAGTTTCCTGTGGGCCATGGTCTTCTGCACCACAGCAACTGTGCTTTGTGACATCAGTAGTCATGCCTAGAGGGGATAGCTCTATACAACATGCAATAGAGAAGATTGACACCTGTGGAAGGTAGTCCATCAGTCTGCACCATCCCCTACGCAGCTAGCGGAGGTGATGGCCCAGGTGCACCTGCCCTAGCACACAGATGACTCTGTCCTGAAAATGTAACCAGAACACTAGAGTTCATGCTGCCCATCACTACAAATGCCAGTGGGCAGAGGCAGGAATGAATGTTGAAGTCGAGTTTTGTTCAGAGCACCAGAGATCCAAAAAGGCAATACACCAACATCATAAAAACTGACTTATACCTCACCTCCAGCCAGTAGGCTTTGTAGGGAGTGGAAACGAGCCATTCAATATCTAACCTAGTTAATTAGTCTGATCCAGTTTGTTGACTCAGAATGATAAATTGCCAAGTATAGACAGAAAAATTTCGAACATCACTTTCTTTTTTTTTTTTTGAACGAGACAGGGTGTGTAGCCCCAACTGTCCTGGAACTCACTCTGTAGATCAGGTGGCCTTGAATTCAGATCTGAGTTTCTGCCTCCCAAGTACTGAGACTAAATGCCTGGCCAGATGTCACTTTTCAAATAAACATTCATTAATTCAAAACACAGCTCTCACCTCAGATGGAACAAGGTTGCCCCCACTTCCCCCCTTTGGGATCCTGCCTGCTCCTCTCACTAGGTCATGTCACCTGTGCTTCTCCAATCTCCTGTCAGGCCCTGCTGTCTTCTGCATGCCTTCTTGGTTACAGGCTTCCTGCAGTGCATTGCCTGTCCTGCCATTCTGTTCCCTGGCTTCCCTAGCGTTGACTCTATAGAGGGATACAGGTTCTATGTTCAAGTTCCCCCAAGCCTACCGACTCTTCCTAGGAAAATGTTGGTGCCTTGAAGCACTAGAGTAAAGGACAGATACAGTGTAGAAAAGTCCCCAACTGATCCTCGGGCAGCTGGAGGGGCTTCTGGGAGATTGTGGTCTGTGTTCCAGCTCTGCTCTTCTTGGGGCCCCTGGCTACATGCTTGTGAGAGAGTGAGGTTTCATGGCTCCCTGGAAGCAAGCGAAGCTCTCCATCTCTCTGGGAACCACATAGCCAGCCTCCTCTACATCGAAGCAGCCAGAGCTAACTCGGCATTCTGTGATCAATGGCCTCAATGGGTCTATGTTTCTGGAACATTTCCTTAATCTTCCCCTTGCCATCAGTGACCCAGGTGTCTGAGACTCTGGCCCAGTCCCTCTGCAGTGCCACTTTGGAGAAAATGCCATCCATGAACTCTGTTTGCTGGAACCTCAGCACTCACCAAAGCCCTCTATCCTCGGCCCTGGGTCATAGCCTCATTAGGTGACGGTGTGAGTTATTCAATGGCCCATAGATGAGTGTTGGTCTCTAAGTACGGCTTCTCACCTGGGACATTACTCAGCTTCCCTTCCCTGGGCTCCTTACCTGCAGTCTGTGTGAAACACGGGACAGGGATGAGAAACAGGAATGAGACTAAAATGCAGACACAGGGCTGGCACCCAGCAGGACTCATATGTCAACCTGAGTGGCCTGGTGTTGAGACAGCCTAACATCAGGTTCCCTGGAGAGCTTCTTGCCCTTGGGACTCTGTGACATCTATCTTAGTAGCCTTCAGAGAAATGGCATCACTGCAGCAAAACCCACCTTTTGCAGCCAACACAAGCAAGAAACACAGATTGCTGTTAAGGACACAGCCGGACAAAACTCGCCAGGTCCCTGTCACCAGCCATCTGGGTCTCTTCTCAGCAAACGGCTCCACACATCACCGGTGACTCATGCATCTATTTTTGAATTTTCTGGGCTAGATTTTAACCCAAACCAACTGACAGCAGTCTCTGCTTTAGGGTCAGAATGACCAAGTCATGTTACACAACATGGTTGTCCTTTGGTTGTGATGGAAAACATCCTTGCCTGTTTGCCCACTGGAATGTGAGCCCATGGGCTGAGATCTCCATCACGTACTGAAACAATGTCTCACATGGGATCAAGGTTTGTGGCAGGCTGTCCCAGGCGTTCCCATCCTGCTCCTGTGTGGTTTGGCAGATACTCTGAGTAATGCCATTTGTGCTCGAGAGGCAATCGTGGCTCCTAAGAAGATGTTAGGAAATGGGAGAGCCATTCAGAGGGGTGGAGTCAATAGTGGAGGAGAAAAAATGTCCTTCTCCACTCCCCTTGTGCCCCAGTTCTGGCCGTTCAGTTTAAACAGAAAACACTCCATTGTTTACTTTGGAACTTCCTAGGGACCCCGCGGCCTGTCTAAGACATGATGTCTGTCAAGGATGAGGCATGGTGTTCTCCTTAGTGGAAGCCACAGCTGTTAGCTCAGCCTCCTGCACACAGGCCTCAGCAGACCCTGAGCTGTCCCCCTCCCCAGGCTCAGGACACCAGCCATGAGTATGACCCTAAGGCGGGAGGGGCAGGTATAACTGGGCTCTTAGGGGTGAAGCTGACTGGAGAACAGCTCCTATAGGGCAGAGTCACCAGGTCACCAGACCAGAAGGTTCCAGATGAGTCTGGCAATTGAAGCAGTGTGCTGAGAATGGGGAGATCAGACGGAGGAACGAAGGCTGGTCCTGGCCTACAGATGAGCAGCCCATTCTGTCAAGGGACAGTGGCAGAGTCACGCAGGGCCCCCGGGTGTCAGAGAAGCTGAGTTCTCTAAAAGGGTCTGTGTGTGCTTGCCTATCGACAGTTCTCAGAGGATAGGACCCACTCTTCAAGGGTTTCTTAACTGGTACTGGCCGGAGCACAGATATTCCTCGGAGACACTTATATATTCCACGGAGACGCTTGGATATTCCACGGAGACGCTTGGATATTCCACGGAGACGCTTGGATATTCCACGGAGACGCTTGTGCTCTGCTTCTTGTCTATCAGATTGTTGAAATAATGGATGCCAAGGAATTGGAATTTCCAAGAGTCTGATGCCCAGTGGAGGAAAAGGCTGAAGTCCAGTGCCAGCTGGAGGGGGACCTTGTCTCTTGACAGATTTCAGATTTCACACAATTTGGACAAGAAGAAGAAGAGAGAGGGCTGTGACAGTGATACGTCAGCAGTGGGCTAGACCACACCTTGACCAGGGCTGCTTAGCTCTTGCCCTCAATTTAAACCTAAGCCTCACATCAGTATTCCAAAGATGGGCTTGGTCACTGGACCTCTTTGTTCCTCTTCCAATGTGACCACGGTAATTAACTCTCCTTTAGATGCTTTTCACTATGACTTGCCTATGTCACTGGCAACTGAGAAGGGCAGGTGAGCCTGTCATTAGGGGCTGCTAAAGCTAGTAACAGACTTAAGTGGAGAGGTCCCAGAAGTTCAAGGGCTCCACCCTCAGAGGCAGATGTCAACTTGCCCAGCATGGGAGGCTGAGTTTCCTGTCCTCAAACAGTCTGTTCCTGCATTTCTGACTTGTGCTGAAAGACAAAGACAAACTTTTGTAGGGGAAAACTGACAAACCATCCCTGAGTGTGTAGGAGCCTGACAGTATCACCAGAGGGGGAAAAATCTATCAGTGACCCTTTTCTCCCCCTGCAACAGGCCTTGGGGCTCTGGCAGCAGTCACCTCTTAGTGGTGTCAAAACTGGGCCAGATGCACCTAGAAACAGGTGGCTGTAGATGCTGTGCCAGCTGGCACTGCTTGGAGATGCCTAAAGCCAGAAATGATTCTAATGGGGTGTCTGGTCCAGCGACTCAGGGAGCACACAGCACTTTGCAGACACACATGGGATACAGCTGGTCCTCTTTCCCACTGAGCCATGATGCAGGACAGGCAGGATGGATACTGCTCTGCCCCTGACAACATCTAAAGGCCCATGTGGAAACAGGCAGGCCTATGACCTAGAGCTTGAGAAGGCTTGTAACAGCGAGGCCCTGGGTATCATCTGCAGAGATTGAGTCAAAATGCTATGAGAGTCATCCAGGTCAGTCAGTCTGTGCCCTGGCAGCTCTGATAAGCAAGACTCAGCCACCTGTCCGCAATAGGCCAATTAAACAGACAAGTAATAATAAGACATGTGGTTGGGGAGCTGACTTAGTGGGCAAGAGTACTTGCTTTGCAAGCTGGAGGACCTGAATCTCAAGGCAATAATGTCACCAGCCTGGCCAGAAAGGTAACAGCTGGAGGAGGAATTGTCTCCCAGAAAGAGATTTTATACAGTTCTAACAACTTATCAGACCACCCTACAGGACAAGACTGATATCTAGACAATGATGGGTCAGTGGTGGGAGGGACCACATCTTGACAGGGACTACTTAGACATGCGTGTCCTTGGCTCTCTATTTAAACTTTGATCTCACTTGAAGACCATGAAGATGGACTTAGGGGAGACAAGGCTTGATGGATCTTTTTGTCTCCCCAAGTTGTCTTCCCAACTTGACCACATTCAACAAATCTCCTTTTCCTGCTTTCTACTCCCCCCCGCTTTTTTCCACTTTAAATTTGGCTTTTTTAACTGGTGTATTGAGGTTGTGTGACCAGACCTCACTTGGGGGTGTAGGTTGTGACCCTCAAGTTATATAACAATAACACAGGTAT